CATGATGGTAAATAACAACAATCACAAATATTCTTTCACACAAAACACAACCACAACTCAAACAGTAATGCAAATGTTGATGCCACTAACTCCTTCATCAATATGCAGTGGTACTAGGTTTTTGGAGTCAGAGGTATGTTATTGATTTGCCCATGTCTATGGTTCCTCTTGAACCGTGTCTCTCTCTAGACAAGAGATCGTCATGGTTCCTCTCTGAACCTCGCCATCATTGGAGCGAAGTCATACCTAACTCTAAAATATATGCATGCATGATCATGTAAAAAAGAAAGCATGCAACTCAATTATCATCAAAATATCATTATCAGAACATCATCATCAAAACATCATCAAAATATGGTTCCACTTTTGAACCAAAACATTCCCAATCACAGGCCATCACTGTAATCCCTCCAGATTACTAATCTCCAAAAATATAATTTTAAAATAATTATTTTTCATCTAAAAAAGATTAAAGTTATGTTATTACTCAACAACTCAAACTCATAAAATACTCAGAAATTCTCAAATTTTTATTATATTATTTATAACTCAATAGAGTCCTTAAAAAGCTAAAAAAAACAGCTCAAAATCTCTCAACCCTCAAAATAACTCTAAAGTATTCAAAAGTTCTCTAAGGGCAACTTTCCACAGGTGGTAACTTTACTAACTCTAAGCGCTGACGGTTTAACTCAATTTACTCAAAGGTGATACGAAGGTTACAGAAAGGTCACCGACATAAAAAATTGCTCAAAAACGAGTGAACAACTTACTAAACTTGAAAATTGTCGAATATGCCCCCAATCGCCCAAACACGCTACCAGACCAACAACACATCCACTAATCATGCAGCTCCTGTCATCCTCCGACCGCCACCTTCCGATTGCCATCCTCTGATGCAACCCGCCTCCGACCCGCGACATGACTCCAGCACCCGCAGTCTGACACGACACCTGCTGCGTGGCCCTCTGGTGTCAATTCACTGTCGTGTGATCGTTGACACCCACTCAAATCCGATTTTCAATTTTTTCTAAAATTTTGAATTTTTTTTCGATTTTCGTGAAAAAAACTAATTTTTTTAATTTTCCGTGAAAAGTCCAATTTTTGAAAGGGTTTAGGTTTTTGACATTTGAAATTTATTGGAAAACAAACTGTAAGGATTTCTGGAAAATACATAGGTATCAAACAGGTCGCCCAAAAAAACACATGAATCAAAATTCTATTACAACACAATTGTTACAACCAAACCTATATTATATCTAACAAATATCTTAATATATCAACAAAACCTTTTACGATGACTATAGGGGATTTATCCCAAATCCCAATTGGTCATCTACAATAATACAACAAAACATCGACTTATTCATCGATCAATGCCAATAAGGTTTTGCCCAAACTTATTTGGCCAAACATATTATAGATAGAAAATATAGCATAAACCTTGGCGCCGATAGGAAGATAAGGACCCCTCACCACCCTAACTACCTATTATCACCCATAAGTAAGAAAATTCCCCTTGCCTTAGAATTACAGAACCTTCAAACATTTGGCTATGTATTCTCCTTCCTAGCTCCCCCTCTTGCAATCTCTTGGTTGCTTCTTATCTCAGAAATTCTAATTTCTCGTACTGTAACATAGCCTCCACCAATTCACTATTTATTTTAACCTAATTTTATAATTTTTATATATTACACTTTGACCACACGTTTCCAAACTCTCACAACTCCACATCTCATTCCCAATATTTTCTACTTTCCACTCAAACTCTTGAAATTCTTACTTTCTTATTATTTTAATTAAATAAAAACCCCAATTGAACAAATATTAAATTAAAATCCTCCAAATTCCTATTTTCTCAAATTATTACTAAATAATTAAAATGATCTAATTATCTCTAATAATTGAAATAAATCTTATTTTATTTTTCTGCTCTCAAATTCTATGTCCTCGATAATTAATAAATTACAAAAATACTCCCAAGCATTAAATAATTCAAATATATTAAATAACGCGCAAATAAACATGCTAATAATTAAATAAAATATTTAATTAAAAATTAGGGTGTTACAAGTTATGCGTCAGTTTGCCTACTTGCAGATTACTCTGAGACCTCCCTATGAGTCGGCTCCTCCCGGTGTGCGTTGCTGAGACCTACAGGCGATACTGGATGATTTCGAGAGTCACTTGGTATTAGTGGAGTATCGTTGGGAGCCATCTCATGTATACTAAGTTTGTGCTGAGGGTTACTTGACATGGTTCTATACGGTGTCACACCCTATCATGACTCCAGACTCTCTTGGAGGACTACTTATGCCAGCTAACCAGGAGGTACTTGAGATTTGGGATGAGGAAGAAGAGAGTGTGACAATAATATTGTCGGTGTGTTGCGGAGATGGGTAGAGCAGTCATAGAGTCAGGACTCTTTAAGGATGATAATCCCTAGTCATCCTTAGTGGAACGCATGGTTTCCGAGTTACAGAATGTCGTGCAATACAGGCAACGAAGGAGGTTAACGGTTAGACATACCCAATAGTTTATATTGGGATGTACTATTATTATTTTTTGTATTTTTGGATGTATTTTCAGACAAATGCTATGTATGAATTTTCTCGACTTTTCTTATTAATGTATGAATTTTTACTTTCCTTTAATATAACTTCATTTTACTTTGATTTTACGTTAATATAAGTTGACCTCACAAAAGTTGAATGTTTGGACATTTGTCTTGTTCCGATATGATCCAAGGAGGATTCCAGAGATGCATCTCCGAAATAATTACACCTTTGTATTTCCTACTATGTGAGCAACTTTTTGAGGACATTTCAGAGACGCATCTTTGAATACACCAAATATCATACAGAGATGCATCTCCGAACCATATTTTTTTTAAATAAGGTAAATCTCAAGATAGCGCATTTCGATTCTGATTTGGGTGCGTTCGAAAATACATTTTCGAACACATGAAGATCAATTTTAAATTTTCAAAGATGTGGTATGCTTATTAAAAAGTCTAATAAGCAAGATCTCTATCATTTTCTTTCATAAAAGCAAGATCTCTATCATTCAAAATCACTTGTGGACATAACTCTTCCTTAACAAACAATTATTTTAGCTTATCCAACACCCAACAAAATTTATCTGTCTGTTCAGATTCCATATAGGCAAATGCGTAACAAATGTTAACTCGGTTGACGTCATGCAAGCAGAGGTTGTCTATATTTGTTTGTCTTGTACATGCTGTCCATAATCAACACAATAGGAAAAACATTCAACTCGAGTGAATCTTGGGTGGGCCCAAAGAATATTTCTCACAATATCCGAGTCATCTATTCTTATATTCAAGTAAAATTAGTATACATTCTAAACCTTAAATTAAATGTAAAATCTCAATTCTAGGACCTCTTATCTCTTTTTGTAACTTACTTTTATGTTTATATTTTTATGTGATCCGAGTGACATTCTCTAGATCTCGCTCTTTCAGTGATAACAATATGTGTCAGAGTAAAATGTGACGCTTTGTCAAACGAGCATGTTGTTGCTAATATGCGTTTAGCCAACTAACAAACGAATGACCTTGTAATCTACCAGGTAAACGATGATTTTGAAATATACATTTTACATCATTGTTCCATCTAAAATCATCTTTCGACGATGTTGACCTAATTTTAAATGGACAACGACATTTCTTAATGGCACTTTATGTTCCACTACATGTTTCCTTGTATTTCCCACCTTTATTACAACCAAATATTACTTTGTTGTTTCTCCATCTCTTGTCTGTTTTGGTATCTGAACGAGCGATGATAAAAATTACTTTATTTTTAATTTTAACCTCTTTAATCCATCGTATAACATCTTTTGGTGTATCAAATATTTGTGTAATTGAAAATACATTAATGATATCTACACATGATTTTATCGCATGTCTATAAATGAGATTTCCATATCTAAGCAACATAAAAAAGTTAAAATAAATTTTAAAAAATTTACTAGATTACTTATTGGTAAATAATCAGGTACACAAAATAGAATTCACCAAATAACATTAGACAAAGTTATCTGAAACTAATTACAAACCGGTGAACATACCAATAAATTCTTCAGAAAAAAAAAACACCAGAGAACATAAAGATAAATTCTCTAGTTAAGAAAAAAATGGATCGTATGACTTTTTACAGAGTACTTCAATAAACATATGTAGAGGTGCAAATTTTTTCAAATTCGAATAACTTGAGTAGAATATTTTAAAAATTGTCGAGGTAGACAAATAAATGTACAGACATAAGGTATTATTTTCGAAAACTAACAATACGGTAGTCCATTCTAGTTAGGAATGCCATTGGGTCTCAAAAGAGAGTTTGGGTTTAAACTATATTGAAGCCCAATCCTATAAGAAGATCATGCTCAATTAATGCAATTTTGTTTTGGATTTAGAAAAAAAAAGAAGTAGGTAGACATATAGATAGATAAAATTCAGTAGGTTGTTGCACGTGTTGGTGTAATTTTTTTAGAAAACATGTTAGTGTTAGCGTATAGACAATTCTCACTTTACTACTAGTTTCTTGCCACGAAAATAAAATATTTTTTCCTAGCATCATTCGAGAACGGTCACATTTCTCTTCAAAAATATCAACTTATTGCAAAAAGTCTCGTGCGATAGCAGATTCAACACATGACATATGGTCAAATATGGCGTTTTCATTTTATTTTACTTTTAATAAGAATTAAGAGTTTATCATAATATGAGGTACTAGAAACTTATAGATAAAAACAAAAATACTTAGTACTATATTCTATGTATTCTTTCTTTGATGCTCCCACCAACTCAAATAAAAACTCTTGTGAATTAATTAACCGAATTAAAATTGGTGACGGTTTTTTCCTCACAAAATTGTTTGACTCGTCCAATATTGTGTGAGTATATTATATATATGCATAATTAAATATACCTAGTAGAACAAACATAATAGTAGGCACTGCAATAGAAAGAGTGTCCAAAAATGGCAGAGGGAAAAGGAAGGGTTTGTGTAACAGGAGGTACTGGTTTTCTTGGTTCATGGATCATCAAGAGTCTTCTTGAAAATGGATACTCTGTTAATACCACTATTAGACCTGATCCAGGTAAATTAATCAATCCTTTTTATTTTTATATATAAGATTTATGAGAAGTAATACTCGAAGAAATTTGTGTGAAGTTGTCTGATGCGAATGCGGTTGCAGAGACTACTGCATCAGAATAAATAAAAAGTGATAATATATGTTCTTTATGTTTTTGACATTATCAGAACGTAAGAGGGATATTAGCTTCCTCACGAACCTTCCTGGCGCATCAGAAAGGCTCCATTTCTTCAACGCCGATCTAAGCAATCCTGAAAGTTTCTCCGCAGCAGTGGAAGGCTGTGTTGGGATATTCCACACGGCATCACCGATAGATTTTGCTGTGAGTGAACCAGAAGAAATAGTGACAAAAAGAACCGTGGACGGAGCATTAGGAATTTTAAAAGCATGCGTAAACTCAAAGACAGTGAAGAGATTCATATACACTTCAAGTGGCTCTGCTGTTTCATTCAACGGCAAAGACAAAGAAGTGTTGGATGAGACTGATTGGAGTGACGTTGATTTGCTTAGAAGTGTTAAACCATTTGCTTGGTCTTATGCAGTTTCAAAGACTCTAGCAGAAAAAGCAGTTCTTGAATTCGGCAAACAAAATGGGATCGATGTTGTTACTTTGATTCTTCCTTTCATCGTTGGTCGTTTCATTTGTCCTAAGCTTCCTGATTCTATTGAAAAAGCTCTTGTTTTGGTCTTAGGTATGAATTTTCCATAAAACACGAATATCATGAACATGACACGACATGACATATCGATACAGTAATAATTTTAAAATATCAGTTTTGAATAGAGATACATACAGACACACATTTTTTTCAAAGGTATCCGTGCTACAGAGAATTTAATATGATAATTTGAATTTTTGTGATGTGAAGGTAAAAAGGAACAAATTGGCGTGACACGTTTTCACATGGTACATGTGGAAGATGTAGCTAGAGCACATATATATCTACTTGAGAATTCTGTTCCTGGAGGGAGATACAATTGTTCACCATTCATTGTAACTATAGAAGAAATGTCTCAACTTTTTTCAGCCAAATATCCAGAATTTCAAATTCTATCAGTAGAGTGAGTTCTATCAGTTAAAACGCTTCATTACAAATTTGACATGTTTAATGTTTTTGATTACTGTATATATAACTAATGTTCTATATCTGTTTTTGTTTTGTTCTTTTAGTGAGTTGAAGGAAATTAAAGGCGCAAGGTTACCGGATTTGAACTCAAAGAAACTCGTCGACGCTGGATTCGAGTTTAAGTACAGTGTTGATGATATGTTTGAAGATGCGATTCAATGTTGCAAGGAAAAAGGATATCTCTAAGTGTTGTGTTTGAAAGTTCATGATGTAATATGTTTTAGTTATGAAGTTTGAGAAAAGAATAAAATGCATAAGATCAATGATGATGGTTTATGAGATGTAGTATTGTAGTATCAGTTTATGCATTAAGTTGTTTATGTTGAAGCAACTGGAGAAATGATCAATTTATCTTTATGAATAATAAGCTGCTTAGTATTTAAATTATTACTTTGTGAAAATCAAAATGAAGTTAATTTTGCAATTGAATTGCCATGATGTAGAAATCTATAAGCTTTCTTATTTATATCTTATTATGACTTAGCAGTTAAGCTAGTCCATCAATGTAGTGTGCTTGAATTAAGAGATTTTTACCGGTTATCAGCATTTAAACCTAACACTTAATTTTTGTTAATATCTATATTATTCTTATCAAATATTTATTAAAAAAATTTGGTAGAACAAATGAAGTATTTGGCATAAATTAAAAAATTCGGTGGTGCATGTGAAAAGTTCGATATACATTTAGACCATTTAAAAAAAAAAGTATGTGGAAAAATTTACCATTTTTTAAAAAACATCATTTTGTACCGGATATTTTCGCGAAACTTTGGAAATCCTCTAGTGTAAAATCATTGGTTTTTAAAAAGTTTGTTCATTTATTGGACTTTTAGAGGGGGCTTCAAAAAATCTGATAGGATAATTGAGATGATTTAGATTTTGCCGACAGTTTTGTACGACTGTGATTATATCGACAATTGTGTGTGGTCTAGAATGAACACAAACTTATATAAATAAGGATCGTGTATTGTTAAAAAGAACTTCTTAAAATGCCTCATTATTTGTATGGCATGTGTGTACTTCAACGGGATGAAATCTCGTGTTGATTTTGGGCTTCCGAAGGACACCATTTGTCTCTCTCTTCTAAGATTCAAATTGAATAATATGTTATTTGTTGCCGAGAACAAAAACGTGAGTAAGATCGAGTTTGGTGCTTTATGGATTGATACTGGTGGAAAGGTGAAATACAACTATATTAAGCTGAAGACCGATGAAGATTTGAAGGTTATGTGAATAATAAATCACCGTAGACTAATCACTATGCCAAAAATGGCCTTTAGCAGCGCTTTAAAGCGTTGCCTAAAGTGGCGTTGCTAAAGGTAAAGGCAGCGCTTTTTTTTATGGAAAAAGCGCTGCTAAAGGTATCACTTTTAGCAGCGCTTTTTTACCCCTTTAGCAGCGCTTTCAAAGCGCTGCCTATTCTCCCCCCCTCCCCCCTGTAGCAGCGCTTTATTAAAGCGCTTTTGTAGGCCACCCTTTAGCAGCGCTTTTTTAAAGCGCTTTCTTAGACCCCTCCTTTCCTAACCTATAGCAGCGCTTTTTTATGCCTATTTTTTTCCCTTTAGCAGCGCTTTCTTGTAAAAGCGCTGTCTATACCTCACGTTTTTAAATTTTTTTTTTTTGAAAAATCACATTTTTTTATATTTTTAGACAAACCTGCTTATAACAATTAAATTCCCTGCTTATAATTCAGGCTTTAAACATAACTTGGCCTTTAAACATTGTAATTCAACACTTGGCCTTTAATTCAACACAATATAACTAAACATTGTACATTATACAATAACACTTTGCAATTTACACATAATTAACTCAAGTATAATTTACACATAATTTAAACATTGTACATTATACAATATACAATATACAATTTACACATAATTACAAATCCAATATACATTATAGAATTCTTAACTCAATCATAAATTGACACCATTCTTCCTTAATTTCTTCCAGTTTTACTTTCGAGTACGTAGCGCATCTGAATTCATCAAAATACTACATAATATAACAGAACAAGCACGATTTAATACTAATTACTCAGATGAAATATTAGTTAATTATCAAAATGAATCATATAACTCATGAATTGATCCATACCATGATTGGAATCTCTAATTGACCAGAAAGAATGATTTCCTTCATAAAGCGCAATACAAAATATCCGCAGTCAATCCCACCACGCTGACGAGGACACTGTATTAGGAAAAAAGCGAACGAACATTTATTAGGATATATAGTTTAAATAGTTTTATAAGTAGAACCACTATAACAGTCAAACATGGAAAAATATACCTCCACTCTGATCCAGTTGATGTTGCTAGCCCTGCTTTTTGGCACTGTTGCATCTCTCTGTGCTCTGTATATTTGTATAACTCTAACATAATATAAACACATATTTAGAACAATGTCACATAATAAATAAACATATATAATTTTTCAGAACATTATACATCATCACTTACGTATCAACCATGTTCTTCAGATTTTCATATTTGTTTGTATCGCCATCCAATGAATCTATATAATACACTATTTCTTTAATCGGATTAATTGCGACCAACAACCAGTGACCACTATAAAATAAGACAACAGTTTAGACGGAAATGTTATATAATATGGCAAAAATCGAACAATTATAATAAATGAATTTAGAATAAAAACTAACCCATGGCCAGTATTATATGGCAACATAAACAATTTCTCCGTATTCGCACCCATAAATCTCTGGACTGTGTACTCTTTGACTGCTTCTGGTGTCTGGTCTATTGTCCGTGAGTTGACACTGCTAGCAGATAAGAATGCGAATACTGAAGTCAAATCAGCGGGGACCAACATCTTGTCATACAAGCGCCTAAAAAAAATATAATCAACATTAGATTATTCAGTTAAACGAGCGAATTTTAAAATGTTCAGTTATCTAATTAAAATGGATCGAAGTACCTGATGTAGGTATGCATAACCCCGACGCCCAATTCTAAATGTTTGAAAACCTGGTCGAAATCCTCCTTAGCAAGTGTTTCAGAATATTCAAAACCGAAAATACCTTGTTCCAAATGTATTAGACGGATGCCGCCCTCAGGCACGTCTGTTGTCCCTACATATGTTTGAAGGCACGACCTAAATTGAGGAACAAATGCTCTTTTTGTCTCGACCTTTTTTTTGGGCACCTTGGAAGTTTCAGGCATGTTTCCCTTGCTGACATGTTGCGACTGCTGATCAAGAACCTAAAAGTCATATATAAGTTCAGTAAATAATTTATAATAAAATAATCACTTAAACTGTAGTACTAGTACCTGTAACTTTGATGCAGCTGAATCGGTATCCCGCACAATAATTTTATCATCTTTTGTTTTGGATTTTGTGGGAGTCTAAGATCATCATGTCAATAAGAAAGTGTAAATGTCAGAATAACTTTCATGTATGGGTAATAAAACATTGGAATATTACAAGGTTCAACCTACCTCATCATCCATGAAAATGAGATTCGCCGACCATGCTACATAAGCTCCTATCGCGTCTCCCACCACTGTTGCGTCTGATACATTGTCTCGCATAGGCAACAACGCCCCCCCCTCTAATGCAATATCAACAGATACTTTCAAAAATCCAGCAGGGAGGGGTTTATGGTGAAGTAAGTCTCCCAGGGTGTTATGCACCTTTCCCTTGCCAACCATGCGATAAATCGGCGACGATAAATATAGTCGACAAGGTGAAATGCCCTAAACAAATAATGATCAGTTAATGTGTCAATTAAGAAAAATGTGCTAAATTAATTTCAATGTAATATATACAATTACCTCTGGAAGCTTCTGCGGACAACCGATACTATCTTTGTCACTAGTAGCTTTACCGGCCTCTAGAGCGCGCCTTTCGGACATGTATCTCTCCTTATCCTTCTGTAATTCACGAATTTGAGCTTTCATTTCCTCCAAAGTAGCCATCACTTCTTTATTGGTTGGATTTTTTTTCCTTGGCTGCTTATACAGTTTGGATGGAGTGACACCAAATCCCTTGCCCCTCACACGCCCAGAGTACTCAGGAATATTCAACACCCGACTCAATAAACTCCTGCAATTATCGTCTTCAGCAGGAGTTATAGTCTGGGATAGTGACTCCTGAAATATAGATAAAAGCATATTTAAATATTTTATACACTTTGTTCAAACACTTTGTTCAAAAACTAATGTTGTACTTACACATTGTTCAAACACTTGTTGAACTTCTTCTTGGACGGCTCCATCTCTTCCCACCCGGGCAGCCTTCCATACGACATGGTCCGGAAGAGATGTCGCATCACTTTTCTCCTCTTCCAACTACGCATTAAGACGAACAACAAAGCATTATATCCTATTATGTATACTTACTATTTTTTGTAAATAGATCATATTAAAGCATATATATGCACTTACTAATTTTTGTTCTAAGCGTGCATATCCCAAACGCCCCTTTCTATATGGATACGCAGGGTTTGATGCCCGTTCCCGATTTACGCCACTCTTAACCTGAAAAAACAAGTTTAAGTCATATCAGTTTGTTTGTGGAATAGGTATATATACTATACATTGTACATGATAAGTTGTACTTACTTCAAATTCTTTGGTTCTTCGCTTCGCAACAAATGTCTCCCATTCTGCATCCGAAATCAAATCAGCGTACTTCGCTGGACGCTCCGACTCTACAAAGTTGCCATCAGAATCTTTAAGATATTTGTTGGTTAAAAACGCTCTAAATCCCCTCAAGCGTTTTCCGGCCAACTGAATACAATATTTTCTCCTAGAATCCTCAATATTAAAAGATCTCTGCAAACAAATACACATACATATAACATGTTAATATAATTAATTTAAAGATGTAACTGTCAACATAATCAAAAATGATCAAATCTCATACTTGAATCTCGGTCCAAATTTTATCCTTAGCCGCTTTTAATGCAGGAATTCTCCAGTTATCGCAAGTAATCGGAACTTGCGAACATACAACTGCTCCAATATAACTTGTCAGCAGCGCACCATTAGGCTCAACCAACTGATCTCTTTCATTCCAATGGACATCGTACTTTACACCTCTATCTCTCGCACGGATGATACTTTTCATTATCGTTATGCCTCTTTTAATTTCGCCTTCAACGTCTTTGGGTGTTTCTTTTCCATCATGTGATGTTTCCTCGTTGCTGGCCATAATAT